CCATTCCCTGCGCTCAGTCCTTCCCTTCCCGCACGGCGGATGGATTTTTGTGCTAAAATAAATGATTACCATTGATATCACTTCCTGCATTGCTTTGATGCCAACCACATCAAAAGTAATGTAATCGTAGAATATTACAGCACAGAAGGAGGCCATTCCGCCCATCATGCCTATGCCGGCTCTTTGGAAGAGCTCACCAGTCCCACCCCCCCGCTCTTTCCCTGTATCCTTGCAATTTTTTTCCTTTTGAAGTATCTGTCTAATTTTCTTTTGAAAGTTGTTATTGAATCTGTTTCCATCCTTTCAGGCAGTGCATTCCAAACCAAAAGTCAGCCATTTTAGCTTTTCACACTAAAACAGACTTCTCGTTCAGCATAGTCCAACTGGCAGAGCCCTGGCTGGTGATTTTATCCGGCCAGAGACCATTTTCAACATTTCAACTTCTGCTCCCTCCCTCTTTGGTGAATGTCTTCCTATGGCAGCGGCAGGAGCCAATGTTTGGGAGGACCCAGCGCAGAAAATAATACTGCCCTTTGATGCTGTATGTGAGGAAGGCAAATGCTTGCTCTTACCAACCATATCCTTAACAACCCCGGGATCCTATCACTGCATATAGTGAACCTGATTGAGAGAGAGGGATTGATGGGTGGGGGGGGTGGGGGAGGAAAGCAAGTGTGTGTGTGTGTGAGATAGAGGTAAGAAAGGGGGAGAGTGAGAAAGTGGGAGAGAGACAGTGATTGATTGATTGAGGGAGAGAGCAGAGAGAGAGAGATCATGAGAAGGGGGTGTGAGAGAGAGGGAGATTGAGAGAGGGTGAATGACAAAGAGGGGGAGAGATAGAATGATTAAGAGAAAGAGGGCAAATAATAATAATTTAGTCAATTCAATCCATGACTGTTTGTGGGGACGCTGCTGTGTGTAATTGGCTGCCATGTTTCACACAAAATATACAGTCAATTCACTTTACAATATATTCTGTGAAGTGCTTTGAGATGTCTCAAAGATATGAGAAGGCACTATATCAAACGCAAGGATTACTATTATTATATCAAACGCTGCTAAGTAGAGAATCAGGTACTTGATCAGTTACCTTTTTTCTGGGACAGTTTCAGCAGTTCTTATACACTAACTGATAAGACTCTCTGCTGCCATGTGTCAGCTGCTCATTCTCATCGTCAGCCTCAAATTTAACCCCAAATGTTCCAACTCGCTGCTGCATTGCCCAGTTTTCTTTGTTCGATGACCAGTTTCAACTAATCTCAAGATTAGATTATGCTTCACAGATCTAAGGAGAGTCGCCTCTGCAGAATCCGTCACAATAGTATATATTGTTTTGTTCCTTTCAGTGGGATGGAAATTCAAACCAAGGAAACCATATCAATCAGTTCATTCGCATAGGAGTCATAGGAGTCAGCAGGTCAGAGAGGTAGGAGGGGACAAGGCCATGGATGGCCTTAAAGGTGAGGACGAGGATCTTGAACTCGATCCTCTGGGGGATGGGGAGCCATTGGAGTCGGGCGAGGGTGGGAGTGATGGGGTCGCGGAGCCTGGTGTGTGAGAGTACATGAGCTGCAGAGTTTTGGATGATCTGCAGCTTGTGAAGGGAAGAGTTGGGAAGGCCGATGAGGGAGTTCCCGTAATCGAGCCTTGAGGTGACGAATGTGTGGGTGAGGGTTTGGGCAGCCTGAGGGGTGAGGCAACAACAACAACAACAACAAGATTCCATTTATAAAGCGCCTTTCACGTCAGGAGGACGTCCCAAGGCGCTGCACAGTTGGGTCATGACCCGAGCAGGGGGGAAATGGTCAGGGTGAGGGGAAGGAAGGGAGCGAGGAGGGGGAAATGGTCAGGGTGAGGGGAGGGAAGGGAGGGAGCGAGGAGGGGGAAGAGAGTCGAGAGGGGAGGCAGTGGCGGAGTCTGGCAATATTGCGGAGGTGGTGGTAGGCAGTGCCGGTCATGGCGCGGATGTGGGGGAGAAAGGACAGTTCAGGGTCAAATAAGACACCGGTTCCTGACTGGCTCAGTGAGGTTGAATGTGCAGCCGTGGAGGCTGATGCTGACAGCGCCAAGGTGCGGAGGGCTGGTGCAAACCAATCAGGAGGGCCTCGGTCTTGTTGACGTTCAGTTGGAGAAAGTTGACCCTCTTCTAGAACTTGATGTTGGACAGGCAGTCGGTCATGACCCCAGTAGTCCTGGAGTTGAGGGTGGAGGCAGAGAGGTAGAGTTGGGTGTCGAAATTTACCCCATGTCTGCGGATGATGTCATCAAGGGGGAACATGTAGAGCGTGAAGAGGAGGGGACCGAGGACAGAGCCCTGAGGAATGCCACACAAGACGGTGCAGGGGCTGGAGGAGAACCCAATTGCTGCAACAAAGTGGAGGTGGTGTGAAAAGTAGGACCTGAACCAGTCAAGGACAAAACCTTGAAGGTTGAGGTGGGAGGAGAGGTGGTGCAGGAGGATTGAATGGTCCATGGTGTCAAAAGCGGCGGAGAGGTTGAAGAGGGCGAGGAGGCAGAGGGAGCCCTGGTCACACATGGTCAGGATGTCGTTTGTGACCTTGACCAGAGCAGTTTGGAGGGGCTCATGGAGGGAGTGGGAGGAGAGGAAAGAGTGAAGCTGGGAGGCAACGCCTCTTTCAAGACCTTGGACAGGAAAGGGAGGTTGGAGATGGGCTGGTAGCTGGATAGCTGTGATGGGTGAATGGAAGGTTTCTTCAAGGTGGGGGTGATAGTGGCTGCTTTGAGGGGGGCAGGAACAGTGCCAGATGACAGGTAGAGGTTGGTGATGATGATATCGGAGCTGTAGGTTTTGAGCAGTAGAGTTTGGCAGACCGCACCTGGCCCTTGAGCGAGCGGAGGTGGCTGGTGAACCAGGCTGAGGATCGGGAATAGGAGGCAGTTCAGGAAGTGAGGGGGCAAGGGCATCGAGTGTGGTGGAGAGAGTGCAGTGGAGAACAGTGAGCGCAGCGAATGGGTTGGTGCAAGAGGTGGGCCAGAGTGGGAGGAGTTCAGTGGACTCCAGGGCAGCAGAGAGGGATTGTGGGGAGATCTTCTTCCATGTGCAGTAGAAGATGCTTTGGAAGTTTGGAGGCAGTGGGGAGAGGGATATAGCAGTTAAGGGAGATGAAGTGGTGGTCAGGGATGACCTTGTCAGTGATGGTGACATCTGAGACTCTGAGGCCCCCGGCTGATCATCAGGTCAGGTGGGGGTCTGTGAACATGGGTAGCAGAGTAGATGTGGAGGGAGAAGTTGAGAGAGGAGAGAGAAGAAGTCTGAGAGTTGGTAGGGGTTAGGAGGTCGCAGAGCGCGGCCATGGAGGGCTTTGTATGTGAGGACCAGGATCCTGAACTGGATCCTCTGAAGGATAGGGAGCCAATGGAGTCGGGCGAGAATGGGGAAGATGGGGTCACGGAGTTTGGTGCGAGAGAGGACACGGGCTGCAGACTTCTGGATTATCTGCAGCTGTGGAGGGAGGAGTTGAGAAGGCCGACAAGCAGGGAGTTTGCATAGTCGAGCCTGGATGAAGGCATGAACAAGAGTTTCAGCACCTGAGGGGTGAGGGAGTGGCGGAGTCGGGCGATGTTACAGAGGTGAGGGAAGGCAGAGCGGGTCATGGCTTGGATATGGGGGAGACAAGGCAGTTGAGGGTCAAACAAGAGACCGAGATTCCTGACTGACTGGTGAGTTGAAGTGTGCAACCATGGAGGTTGATGTTACCAGAGCCTGAGGTGCGGAGGCGCTGGCGCGAGCCAATCAGGAGGGCCTCAGTCTTGTTCATATTCTACTGTTGGACAACTTCACTTCTCAGGATTGAAATCCCAGTGATCATCACATGAGAGATTCCTGTGGCTTCTCTCACTGGGCTGAACAGTTCTCCATTTGCTTCCTGTCCCACCGCTGACAGTGACTCTAAAATCCCCAGTGAAGCAAAACACAATGTTTTTCATTTGCAAAGAAAGATGTGAAATTATAATAATCAGAAATCTGTGAATTACTGTAATTTGCAGAGGGGGCGAATAGAATCATAGACTCTTACAGCACAGAAGGAGGCCATTCGGCCCACCGTGCCTGTGCCCGCTTTTTACAGAGCAAATCCGCTAGTGCCGCTCCCCTGCTCTTACCCCAAAACTGTGCAAATTTTTCATTATATAGGTACTGAAAAATTCCTTTTTGAAAGCTATTATTGAATTTGCTACCAACTCCATTTCCGGCTGTACATTCCAGATTGTAACAACTCTCTGGTTAAAAAACATCTCTCATCTCTCCTCTGGTTCTTTTGCTAATTATTTTAATCTGTGTCCTCTGGTTACTGACTCAAGCGCAAAAGGAAACATTTTTTCCTTATCTACTCTATCAAAATTCCTCATAATTTTGAACACTTCTATTAAATCTCCCCTCAACCTTCTCTCCTCGAAGGAGAATAATCTCAGACTTTCCAGTCTCTATGTAATTGTAGTCCCTCATCCCTGGAACCATCCTCAATGACAGGGACTGTGGGTGGGGTCAGGCCTGAGTGACAGGGACTGTGGGTGGGGTCAGGCCTGAGTGACAGGGACTGTGGGTGGGGTCAGGCCTGAGTGACAGGGACTGTGGGTGGGGTCAGGCCTGAGTGACAGAGACTGTGGGTGGGGTCAGGCCTGAGTGACAGGGACTGTGGGTTGGGTCAGGCCTGAGTGACAGGACTGTGGGTGGGGTCAGGCCTGAGTGACAGGGACTGTGGGTGGGGTCAGGCCTGAGTGACAGGGACTGTGGGTGGGGTCAGGCCTGAGTGACAGGGACTGTGGGTGGGGTCAGACCTGAGTGACAGGGACTGTGGGTGGGGTCAGGCCTGAGTGACAGGGACTGTGGGTGGGGTCAGGCCTGAGTGACAGGGACTGTGGGTGGGGTCAGGCCTGAGCGACAGGGACTGTGGGTGGGGTCAGGCCTGAGTGACAGGGACTGTGGGTGGGGTCAGGCCTGAGTGACAGGGATGGGGGGAAGGGGTTGTATTGCGGACCTATTACAGAAGATAAAATGAATCTTTATCAAACATGCTTTTCACGGCTCTCTGTGCGGCTCCCACGTGCTGCCTCACTGCGTCCGTCAGGACCGTGACGGTGAACCACGAGGACACTGCTGCTCCGAGGAGAGAGATGGTCACTGGAGGGAAGCCACGTTCCTTCATAGCCACCGTGCAGCCAACAGCGGTGGCCAACAGCACTGGAGACAGTTTACTCAGTAAACAAAGCTTCTTTACAGTTTTCCATATGCTCATGGGCTCCTCCCGGAATGAGCTGATCGCTCTGTACAGAGACCCGTAATCCAGTCCAACCTCCCGCTGGAGATATACGAGTCCTGCGACTACCAGCCCAATGCTAGTCACAAACAACAAGCCTGGCCATGGGGCCGCACCCACAGCACCGGCCAGCACAGCCAACAGCCAGATTCTGTTCACCATCGATCTTATCTTCTGTCCCATAATCTCCCTGGTTATTTCGGGGAGTGCGAGTGTGAAACCCTGTGACCTGATCATCGGGACATGTCTGACGAGGTTCGTCCTTAGTTCAGGAAAGTCATATTTGTTCAATTTAAAGTTTGATATCAGAAAAATGGGGGGTATTTTAACGTTAGCGTATTGGAAGTTGGCCACACAGTCCATCCGGATTGTCTTCATCTCTTCATCTTCTGTAAACTCAGCTCCTTCCATTGCCAGTGAGTGGAGATCATTGTCTATTTTACATCGGACATAGAAGCACAGTTTGCCCTGCTCCTGGACCTTCTTGGCCAGTTCAGCATCATACATGGTTGGCTCAGTTGTGGTCTCACAGTGACCAGTCGGAGCAGCTCCCTGAGCGTTGCTCTGAAGATTTCTTATGGCATTGATAAAGGTGGATTTCCCTGAGCCTGCTTCACCTGCCACTGCAATGTTAACCTGTACCTCATCTAAGTGACTACATTTATTCCTTATCTGAGATAGAATGGCTCCTAATCCACCAGTCTTATAATCAGATTGTAGTCCAATGATTTCATCAGAATGGAAGAACTTGGAGGCAGCCATTTGATCTCTGAAATCAAAGATTAATATGAAGGTTTAATTAATGTTGGCCATCAAAAACAGCTTATATTGACACTTTACACCTGACAGTATATAACTGGAGTATGTGTACAGTATACCTGGAGGGGGAGGATGTGTGTGTACAGGATATAACTGGTGGGTGTGTGTACAGGATATAACTGGAGTGTATGTATACAGTATATAACAAGAAGCTGTGTGTAGGATATCACTGTGGATACGCTGTTAAAGGAAGTGACTGTCAGACATTGTGGGACAGAGGAGCAAACAGACAGAGTGAATGTGTAAAGAGACAGATCTGACCGGAGTGTGTCCTTCACTCTCTGCAATCCCCACTCGCTGTCCTCGGCTCGGGACCAGTCTTACCCACCAGCTGCTCACAGTAAACGAGTTTGCCCTGAGTACCGGCAGCAGTGAGAGGCCACAGCACAAGAGCAACCGTTACAGTGAAAGTGAATGGAGTTTGTGGTGGGAGTTCTCTTCCTGTACAGAGGCGTCCAATGTGTGGCATTCATGACACTTCAAGGCAATCTGTTCCTCCTCATCACCGATGCTCGTCAGTGACAGAGAATCACAGCACCTGGTTCACTGGGAAATGGGTCCAGGATCGTGTTTATATTGTGTTTATAGTGTAAAGAGTTGAGTTTAATCCTATTTTCCAATGATAACAATAATAATCTTTGCATTTGATATAGCGCTTTTCACATCTTCGAGACGTCTCAAAGCGCTTCACAGGATATACTGTAAATTGAATTGACTGTATATTTGTGGCCGAAATGTGGCAGCCAATTGCACACAGCAGTGTCCCAGAAACAGTCGTGGATTGAAGTGACCATTATTTTTTTTCTTGAGGGATTATTATCAGGCATATGGAGTAAGGCAACCTGCCCAAGGTTTCGCCCTGCTGAACCCAGGTTTCTCGTTTGAGAGGTGAGTGTTTTAACCACTGAGCTACAGGGCTCCACATGAAGAAGGTAATTCCATGATCCAGAATTACCTGATTATATCGAATCCCCCGTGGCCTACTCTTTGCCCCCCAGCCCAGCCCAGCTGCTTCCTGTATCTCCTACAGAGAGTGTGGGAGCTCTGGGGCTCAGTCACCTTTTATGTGGCACAGACTCTGCCTCCCCCTCTCTCTGGTATAACCCAAGGCCCCAGTAGCTGTCTCCCTCCCTCCCTCCCAGTTTCAGGGGCAGTTACACACAGTCATTTGATCTCTCTGTGGTGACAACTTCCCTTTTCAGGATTGAAATCCCAGTGATCATCACATGACAGATTCCTGTGGCTTCTCTCACTGGACTGAACAGTTCTCCATTTGCTTCCTGTCCCATCGCTGACAGTGACTCCAAAATCCCCATTGAAGTAAAACAGAAAGTTTATTTTATTTACAAAAAAGAGCTGTGAAATTACAATAATCAGAAGTCTGTGAATTACTGTAATTTGCAGAGGGGGCTAAGAGAATCATAGAATCTTACAGCACAGAAGGAGGCCATTCGGCCCACCGTCCCTGTGCCAGCTTCCCAAAGACATACTCCCCTACTCTTACCCATAGCCCTGCAAATTTTCCAAGTACCTTTCTAATTCCCTTTTGAAAGCTATTATCTAATCTGCTACCACATCTCTTTCAGTCATTGCATTCCAGATTGTAACAGTTTTCTGTATAAAAAACATTCTCCTCATCTCTCCTCTGGTTCTTTTACTAATTATTTTAATCTGTGTTCTTTGGTTACCGACTCACGTGCAAGAGGAAACCGTTTCTCCTTATCTACTCTGTCTACTCATAATTTTGAACACCTCTATTAAATCTACCCTTAACCTTCTCTGCTCCAAGGCAAATAATCCCAGCCTCTCTTCATATAATTGTAGTGCCTCATCTCTGGAACCATTCTTGTAAATCTTCTCTGCATAATCTTCAAGGCTCCGAAATCCTTCCTGAATTTTGGTGTCAGAATTGCACATAATCATAGAATCATAGAATTATACAGCACATTAAGGGGTCATTTGGCCCATCGTGTCTGCGCCGGTTCCAAAAAGAGCAATCCCAACTCAATCCCACTGGCCTGCAATCCCCCTCCGTAGCCCTACAATCCTCACCTCATCAAATCCCCATCTACTTCTATCTTAAAGGGTCTTCTTGAATGGGCTTCCACTACCCTATCAGGAAATACATTCCAGACCTGAACACCTCGCTGGGTGAAAAAGCTTTTCCTAACCTCCCCTCAATTTTAACAACTATCTTAAATCGGTGTCCTCGGGTTACTGACCCACATGCCACTGGTTCAACCAATCAAATCCTCCCATGATCTTGAAAACCTCTATTAAATCCCCTTTTAATTTTCTCTGCTTGAGGGAGAATAATCCTAGTTTCGCTAAACTCTCCTCATAACTAAGGTCCTTCATTCCTGGTGCCATCCTGGTAAACCTCCTTTGCACCCTCTCCAATGCCCTAATGTCTTTCCTATAGTGCGGTGCCCAGAACTGAACGCAGTCTCCAACTGAGGCCTAACAGCATCTTATAAATATCCAACATAACCTTCTGACTTGAATTCTATGCCCCTATTTATAAAACCTAGTATCCCGTTCTACCCTACTTACATCTCTCTGCCTCTGCTCTGATCGCCTCATCATCCTGGGTGACTTCAACCTGCACTTCACCCCCTCCTGCTCCATCTCCTCGGACTTCTCCTCCCTCTCTCTCATCGCTCAACCTCTCCCTCCACATCAACTCCGCCACTCACAGTCACGGCCACCCACTCAATTTGGTGATCATCCGGGACCTCAGTGTCTCGGATGTCACCATTACCAACAAGGCCGTCTCCGATCACCACTTCATCTCCTTTACCACCTCCATCTCCCTCCCCACCTCCACCAGACCCACCCTCATCTCCTACCGCCCCTGGAAGAAGTTACCCCCACAATCCCTAACCACTGCCTTGGAGTACTCTGAACTACTCTCCCTCTGGCCTTCAACCCTCACTGACCCCTCTTCTGCTCTCACCCTCCTCCACAACACCCTCTCCTCCACACTCAACACTTTTGCCTCCATCACCTCCCGTACTGTCTCCTACTCTCGCTCCTCCCCCTGGTTCACCACCCACCTCCACTCACTGAAATGCCAGGTGTGGGCCGTTGAACGCACCTACCTCAAATCTGGCCTAACGGTCCACCAACAAATCTGGCTGGACCTCCTCAAAATCTACCGCTCCACTCTAGCCTCGGCCAAGTCGTCCTTCTACTCCAGGATAATCCTGGAGGCGAAGAACAACCCCAGGCTTCTGTTTTCTACCACATCCCGACTCCTCCGTCCCCCCCGCCACCCCATGCAGGTCATCTCCTCCAACCTTCACTGTGAGGAGATGCTGGATTTCCTTCAATGCAAAATCAAGGGAATCCGCTCCGCGGTCACTCCCCCTCCAACTTCCACCCACCCTCCACCCCTTCCCTCCCACACTCCAACTCCTACCCATCCTCCCCTACGCACCTTTGAACCCGTTTCCCCACCCTCTGTCACCAAACTCATCCTGTCCCTGAAACCCACCACCTGCTCCCTTGACCCCAGGCCTACTCCACTCCTTATCTCTCAGCTCCACCTCCTTGCCCCACATATCACAGACATCGTCAACCTGTCCCTCTCCTTTGGCTCTGTTCCCATTCCCCTAAAAACTGCCATCATCACTCCCACTTTGAAAAAACCCTCCCTTGATGCGTCACAGCTATCAATCTCCGGCCCATCTCCAACCTCCCCTTCCTGTCCAAGGTCCTGGAACGAGTTGTGGCCTCCCAGCTGCGCTCTTTCCTCTCCACCCATTCATTATTCAAACCCCTTCAGTCGGGTTTCCGTGCTGCCCATAGCCCAGAAACCGCCCTGGTCAAGGTCACCAATGACATCCTAACCATCTGCGACCAGGGCTCCCTCTGCCTCCTCGTCCTCCTCGACCTATCGGCAGCATTCAATACGGTCGACCACACTATCCTTCTCCACCGCTTGTCCTCCCACCTCAACCTTCAAGGCCCTGTCCTTGAGTGGTTTAGATCGTACCTCTCCCACCATCTTCATTTTGTTTCCACAAACGGCGTTTCCTCCACCCCCCGCACTGTCTTGTGTGGTGTCCCTCAGGGCTCTGTCCTCGGTCCCCTCGTCTTCACCCTCTATATGCTCCCCCTGTGGTGACATCATCTGCAGACATGGGGTTAACTTCCACAGGTATGCGGATGGCACCCAACTCTACTTTTCCTCCTCTACCCTCAACTCCACGACCCCCGATGTCCTGACAGCTGTCTGTCCGACATTGAGTCCTGGACGAGAGACAACTTTCTTCAGCTCAACGTGCGCAAAACTGAAGCTCTCCTGATTGGCTCACGTCAGCGCCTCCGCACCTCAGGCGCTGACAGCATCAGCATCCAAGGCTGCACTCTCCCCCTCTCAAAGCCGGTCAGGAACCTCGGCGTCCTGTTCGATCCTGAGCTTTCCTTTCTATCCGCGCCACAACTGGCACCGTCTTCCATCACCTTCGGAACCAGACTACGGCACTACCTCACCCCTCACGCTGCTGAAAATCTGGTCCACGCCTTTATCACCTCAAGGCTGGACTATGGGAACTCTCTCCTCACCGGCCTTCCCGGCCCTCCCTCCACAAGCTGCAGGTCATTCAGAACACGTTCCTGGCCACACACTCAACCTGGTGATTTCCCGGGGTCACAAGTCTTGGATATCACAATCACAGACAAAGCCATCTCCTCACCAAATCACCATTTCATCTCCTTTAACTCCTCGATCCCCCTCCCCACCACCACCCAACCCACTTCCATCTACTATCACCCCTGGAAAAAAATCTCCCTCCAATCAACGTTCCACTGGCAGGCCTGGCTGGACCACATTAAAATGTACGCTACACCCTCACTTGTGCCAAATCGTCCTTCTACTTCAAGATAATCTTGGAGGTGATGGACAACCCCAGGCTCCTATTCTCCACAACCAACCTGTTCCTCAATCCAACCTCCCACACCTTGCCTATACTCTCCTGAAACTTTGACTGTAATGAGATGCTGGATTTCCTTGAGTCCAAAATTGAGCAGATCTATTCAGGTGCTTCCGCCCTCCCAAATACCACTCCCTCCCCATCTCTCCCCACGCTCCGATCCCTATCCATTCCTCCCTCCACATCTTTAAACCTGTCTCTCCCTCCTCTCTCTTATCCAGCATGAAACACGCTATCTGCTCTCTTGACCCCAACCCACCCCATTCCTTGCCTCCCAGATCCACCTCCTTGCCACTCTACTCTCCAACACATTCAATCTCTCCCTATCATCTAGCACCATTCCCATCACCCCAAAAACAGCTTTGATCACCCCTATCCGGAAAAAAACCTTCCCAGGACCCATCCCCGCTTTCTAACTACCGGCCCATTTCCAACTTTCCTTTTATTTCCAAGGTCCTTGAAAGAGTTGCTTCCCAGCGTCAATCCTTCCTCCCCTATCACTCCATTCAAAGCCCCTCCAATCCGGTTTCCAAGCTGCCCACAGCACAGAAACTGTTCTGGTCAACGTGACATACTACATTCTGTCAAACTTTGATTAGGGCTCCCTCTGCCTCCTCGTCCTCCTCGACCTCTCTGCTGCCTTTGATACTGTAGACTACTCCATCTTCCTCAACCGACTCACCTCATCTCAACCTTCAAGGTGCTGTCCTAGAATGGTTCAGATCGTGTCTCTCACACCTTCTCCAATATGTCTTCGCCAATGGTTTCACTTCCAGCCCCCATCTTGTGCGGTGTTCCTCAGAGCTCTATTCTCAGTTCCCTCATCTTCAACCTCTACGTGCACCCCATGGGGTGAAATGTACACGGATGACACCCAACTCTATCTCTCTGTCTCCACCCTTGATTCCAGGACAACCGACATCTTGACAGACTGTCTGATAGACATCAAATCTTGGATGAGAGCCAACTTTCTACAGCTGGACGTCAGCAAGATCTGATTAGCTCGCGCTCGTGCCTTCGCAGGGCAGACGCTGGCAACATCAACATCCATAGATGGGCATCTTTTTCAACCCTCAACTGTCCTTTTGCCCCCATATGCATGCCTTGATCCGCTCTGCCTACGCCCACCTCCACAACATTGCCCAACTCCACCACTGCCTCACCCCACAGGCCTCCAAAATCCTCATACACACATTTGTCATCTCAAGGCTCGATTATGGAAACTCCCTCCTTGTCGGCATCACTGACTCTCCCCTCCACAGGCTGCAGATCATCTAGAACACTGTAGCTCGTGGCTCTGAGACCCCACCCTCGCCCGGCTCCACTGGCTCCCCATCTCTCAGAGTATAGAATTCAAAATCCTAGTCCTCACATTCAAGGCCCTCCTACCTCTCTGACCTGTAACCCCCTCTCAACCTGTTCACTCCCTCAGTTCAGCAGAAACAGGCGCTTTGCAAATGTAATTTTGTTGTTGTAGGTGTAGCTGTACTGAGGTGGTGCTGTATTTCATAACATCCAGTGCTGCTGGGATCATCACTGGTATCATTTTGTTTTGTGGTTGAGGAGCGACTAACACACAGCCTGGGGTCATGGAGGTAACGTGGGTAATTGGGCACTGATGACCAGCCCTATTCAGGGTGCACACGGGTCACTGGCAGCCCCTCCTGTTCACCGTACAGCCCCGCCCTGGGTTAAAGGGTGAGCTGTGGACACAAGAGCAACACGTCAGTGCAAACCAGGATGTGACATGCGTATGCTTTGGGGCAACTGCTGAATTATAACCTGCTAAAACCACATAACTTCCCATTGAGAACACTTAGGGTTATCTTGCTGATGCTTCTCCGCTTAGGAACCTTTGTGGCTTTGGTTTGCAGGATTCACAGGAAAAGGGTTCAAGTGGAAAGTCAGCAACAACAAGTTTCCCAGCTATGTGTCTGCCCAACTGATTTCTTTTAAAACACAGTTTGATGTTATGAAGAAAAGATATTCTACTCTGGAAGGTGAGATCAGATGGGCCAAAATGCCTTCTTCATCCAAAATAACCTTGTAATTTTCTGGCAAAATTCTTTTCAGTTGGTCAAACCGCAGCAATAACCCTCACACACATCAGGTGGCGATCCTTGCAAATATTTGCAGCATTTTGGGAAGTCCAAGAACATGTACAACGGCATTGTACACTGTACACTGGTTTTCTGCATTTCTGGAAAAAAACACAGCTTTTAAATTACAATTCAGGTTGTTTGTAACTTTTGGTCACAACGCATGAATCTCACTCTGCAGCAGCTACATGTGTTGTGGCCCAAAGTTTCGAGCAAGCGATGTGCTTCATGGTTCATTCATGATGTGAGTATCCGCCTCCCTCCAGCCTTCATGCCACTGGGAAGGGAATGTTGGTGGGAGACCGGTACCAACATTAGTACCAAAGAAGTAAAGTTTAACTTCTTTTAGTGTAAATTAGAGGGACCTGGAAAGGGAATCTCAAACACTAACTTTCATCTGAAGACCTTCCCACCACAAAGCCTCACATGGGCATTGCTTCCATCTCTCCCGACCTCACGTCACGTACTGTAGCCCCACTCCCACCTGCTCCATCCCGGGCTCTCCCTCTATCTCTCTCTCTCTCTCTCTCTCACATCCAGACACTGTAACAAGCAACAACAACAACAACAACAAGATTACATTTTTTGTCCTCCCTAAGGCAGGACATGTGGCAATCAGAATATGACCCCGCCTCCCCTTGGTGACACCGCCTCCTCTTGGTGACCCCGCTCCAGTTGTTGACCCCGCCTCCCTTGGTGACCCCGCCTCCAGTTGTTGACCCCGCCTCCCCATGTTGACCCCGCCTCCCCATGGTGGCCCCACCTCCCCACGGTGGCCCCACCTCCCCATGGCGGCCCCGCCTCCCCATGGTGACCCCGCCTCCCCATGGTGGCCCCGCCTCCCCCTGGTGGCCCCACCCCCTCACAGCCACAACCTGCCCCCAGACTCCCTGCCTGGTACCCAGTGAGGCAGCGCTGCACTGGATTCTCACTGGACCCTCTCTGTGAGACCGCCCTCCCCTGTCACTGGGTGTGTGAGTGGAGCAGTTGGAGACAGGAGATATTTGCACAAAGCTCTCACAGTGCGGGTGGGACTGAAGCAGCAGCAACAGTCGCTCTGGATATCGCTGTTGACGGTGACTATCAGCAAAGTCTATCTCACTGATCGAGTTGTTCCAACAAGTACCCACTGCAGGTAAGGACCAGGACTTCACCATCAGCTGCTTTTGTATGAGGGTCAATCATCCGAGAATTCTCTGCATTGAGCACCGACTGATCAGTCTATTGGTGACAGAATAATTTGGTTCAACTCCATCCGAGTCCAGATTTACTGTTAATGTCGCATTTCAGAGCCTCAAGGATTTGGCAAATTGCCTCAACTTTGTTTTCAGTAGTTTTTAAAAGAAACCAGAGTACTGTGACCAAATTCAATCTGTCTTTATTAATGCATTAATATACCGTTTCAGAGCCTCCAGAATTTGGCAAATTGTTGAATTTCGTCTTAACTTTGAAACCGGATTTTATTATTCTTAAAAAGCTTTGGACCTTAACCTTATAAGAGAATAATTTTCCCTCTGGTGACGAGTGTGTTGGAGCTTCCACATCATCCTGAACTCTGGCCTGTACACAGCCCCACCTTCACCAGCTTCTCTATATCCTTTCCCGGCAGCTTGAGTCTTAGCTCAGAAGAATCTTTGCTTTGTGTGAATCATCTGTTTCTTTGCTTCGACTATTTGATCTGTCACAAGACACTGGACCAACAAACCAGGGTGTGGGAATGTCCAATGTCTTTGTGGCGCCCAAGAGGAAAGTCTGAACCTTTCCACAGAACCAAGTCTTTGTGGTGTTGGGTTTTTATCAGGCAGATGATAAAATGAATGTTGTCATTAAATGTCCAAATCATGAATTTTATTCGGATTGGCAAATAGTAGAAACACAACGTTAAAAAACAGTCTCTACCAGATAAAGCGTGATCAAGTACAGAATTGGGTGTTTGATCAGTTACCTTTTCTCTGGGCGTTTTCACAATCCTCTGGCACTCATAATAGTATAATAATAATCCTTGCATTTGATATAGAATCATTTCACGTTAAGACATCTCAGAGCACTTCACAGAATTTACTCTAAAGTTGATTGACTGTAATGTACGTATGTGGTGTCAGTTTTGAGACCCAGCTGTACTTACTACTCCACATCCAGTCCCTGACCAGGATCGCTTTCACCCACCTCCATCATGTTGCCTACCTCTAACCATACCTCGCACCCAACACCCGAATCACTCATCCACGCATTTGACACCTCCCACTTTGATTATTCCAATGTCCTCCTCATTCTTCTATGCATAAAATTCAATTAATTCAAAACTCTGCTGTCCATATTATCATTGATGCCAATCCCACATTACCTCAGTGCTCACCAGGCTCCCTATTACAGAATGGATCAACTTCAAAGACCTCACAATTATTTACAAATCGATTCATGCCCTGGCTCCTCCCTTCCTCTCTGACCGGCTTACTTCTCACTCCAATACCCACTACCTCTGCTCAGCTGACTCTGGCCTTAAGTTGGAATTGGTCTCAGGTCAGATGAAATCATCCTCCGGGCTGAAAGCATCCCGTGGGCATCTGTTGGACAATGCTGCTTTATATTGCTGTAGCTTTGGAATCCAGAGACACAAACCTACGTCAAGCCTGTCGGACAATTTTAAATTCCTGGAAGGCAAAGCTCAGAATCAGACCATTTGGCCCAACCAGCCCGGCTGGTGTTTATACTCCATACAAGTGCCTAATGGCAAGCTATGCAGTTTTAGCTGGCTAGACTCCAACAGCACCCACCAGACAGTCTGGAGTCCCCAAGCCTTGGCACTGGCCACCCTGCGCCTAATACTTTCCAGTACGCCATAGAGAGAGAGCGCATTCCATTCCAACAATCTATCTCTGGAATTTCCATGTATAGGAGCAATGTGTGGAATTCTCAGTTGGGTTTGGAGACTCTTAAGTACGGTGATGGGTTTCTGCATGTGTCAGACACCCGAATGACCAAAAGAAAATGAGTGCCGATCCCAGTTCCTATTCCTAATCCCATATCCTAGTTATTTCTCTGATTCCCTCAACTTTATTCTCTCTTACTATGGTCTTTTTTTGAATGTGCACATGGTTACTACCCTTCTCTGACTAATTTGCAGGATCAGGCTCCAAACCCGGATATGGTGCCAGGACCCAGAATGTGAATGACAATAACTCTGGATGCAAATTATAATGAGACACTACAATGATATGAATATTAAAATAATAATAACAATAATTCTTCCATTTGAAACAGAACCTTATCACATCTCCTAGGTCTCTCAAAGCGCTTCACAGAATATATTGTAAAGTAATAATAATAATAATAATCCTTGCATTTGATATACCGCTTTTCACGTCAGGAGGACGTCCCAAAGCGCTTCACAGAATATACTGTAAAGTGAATTGACTGTATATTTGTGGGCGAACGCGGCAGCCAATTGTGCACAGCAATGTCCCACAAACAGTCGTGGATTGAAAATGACCAATTTATTATTGTTTTGGTTTTGGAGGGATTATTATTAGGCTCTGTGTGGAGTAAGGAAACTTGCCCAAGGTTTCGCCCTCTGCCTGGAATTGAACTCAGGTCTCTCACTTGCAAAGCGAGTGCTCTAACCACTGAGCTACAGGACTCCACAAAGTAAATTACTTTGTTTGCGAAAGGAGGCAGCCAATTGCACCCAGCAGTTATGGATTAAATGACCAGGATTTTTTTTCAATTAGTCTTCAAATAGGATTCCTGTATGGATAAAAATCAATTTACATTTATTTTGGGCTTTTCAATTTGGGAGTACATCCTAAAGTACTTGCGACATGTAAGGAAGTAAACCATTACTAAGCTTCTTCTCCTTGCCCCATTCTCGGAGATTCTACCACCCATGACTCCCCCATCCACACCCAAACCTGTCCCTCCCACTGTTTGACTCTCCTTTATTTGTACCTATACCTACATCTGTTTCTCACCCCATTGCCCTCTCTTTGCTACACAGACTTTCTACTGTGGCTGAACACGATCTCACACATTGACCTTGGTCTATTCAGTGCAGCTTTGAGATGTGTCTATTCGTTACCCGCACAGCTTTCCTAACCACACACCAACCAGCATTACATTACTCCGCTAACCAGGAACCATCACTGGGCAGTTCTCCAGCTGTTAGCTCTGTCCAAACTTTACTGGGAACTGTGACTGTCACCATCTCAATCCTTTGTTCATGGACATGACAGCAATTGCACAGAGAAACATGCAATATTTTATAACTATTATAAAGACAGGTTCCACATTGAGCAGCTGTTAGTCTCTAGTTTGTCAGTGAGCCTAAACTGTGCCTCAAGCCCCCAGCCCACCCCTCTCCTGTACAATCTGTTCACTCACACAGCTGCTACTTGTCTCATATCAATCAGTAAGGATACAGACAAGTAGCTGATAAACACTGACAATGTTAATGTAGAATATTTATTTCCTTTCAGCTTCCTTTCATCTCCTCACTCCACATACTTCAACAACAACAGCAAGATTCCATTTATAGAGCGACTTTCACGTCGGGAGGACGTCCCAAGGCCCTGGACAGGGGGGAAATGGTCAGGGTGAGGGGAGGGAAGGGAGGGAGAAAGTTGTCTCTTGTCCAGGACTCGATGTCGGACAGGCAGCTGTCAGGACATCGGGGGTCGTGGAGTTGAGGGTAGAGGAGGAAAGGTAGAGTTGGGTGTCATCCGCATACATGTGGAAGTTAACCCCATGTCTGCGGATGATGTCACCACAGGGGGAGCATATAGAGTGTGAAGAGGAGGGGACCGAGGACAGAGCCCTGAGGGACACCGCACGAGACAGTGCGGGGGCCGGAGGAGAAGCCGTTCGTGGAAACAAAATGAAGACGGTGGGAGAGGTACGACCTAAACCACTCAAGGACAGGGCCTTGAAGGTTGAGGTGGGAGGACAAGCGGTGGAGGAGGATAGCGTGGTCGACCGTATCGAATGCTGCCGATAGGTCGAGGAGGACGAGGAGGCAGAGGGAGCCCTGGTCGCAGATGGTCAGGATGTCATTGGTGACCTTGACCAGGGCAGTTTCTGTGCTGTGGGCAGCACGGAAACCCGACTGAAGGGGTTCGAATAATGAATGGGTGGAGAGGAAAGAGCGCAGCTGGGAGGCCACAACTCGTTCCAGGACCTTGGACAGGAAGGGGAGGTTGGAGATGGGCCGGTAACTTGATAGCTGCGACGCATCAAGGGAGGGTTTTTTCAAAGTGGGAGTAATGATGGCAGTTTTTAGGGGAATGGGAACAGAGCCAGAGGAGAGGGACAGGTTGATGATGTCTATGTCTAAAGAAAGATCTTTAGCAGCTTCAGATTGCTTTTCAAGCAGTTTGTGTTTCTTTGTCCGTGTCTAAGAATCATTATAACCCGCAACCCCAGTTACCTTCTCAGAAACCTTTTTATGCTTCCTGCTTGGTATCCCAATGGTAATCCTCCAATTGTCCATTTACTTTTAAGGGATATCTGACATCTGTTTCTGATTCTGTGTCCATGTATGAATATTGTATTGTATTTTTGCTGTCTGTAATCTCACTGCTGGTACTCCGTGTAATTTAAATAAGGGTTAGTATTATAGTATTAGTGTTAGAACGTTTTGATGTCAGATCAGCAAAACATTTCTTCACACAGAGGGTTGTGATAATGTGAAATGCATTGCCCCAGAGGCTATAGAGGTGGAGATATTTGGGATGATTAAAAGGGAGATAGAGAGATAGATACACTGGAAGCAATTATATTAAAGGGTGGCCTTAAAATATCTGCTACAATGCAGTAAACTGATGGAATAGACTCACTGGGCCGAATGGCCACTTCCTGTTTCTATTTTCCACATGTTTCCCCACAGCCTAAAGTTCCTTTATTGAAAAATAACTGGAGGAAATAACTCAATAAAGGTGAAGAGCAGTACATAGGATTTGGTAGACAGCGGCAAAGGGAGCAAACACCAGCGCAGACACAATGGGCTAAATGGCATCCTTCTGTGCTGCAAACATTCTGTGATATAACAACATTTATATAATGTCCTTCACTCAGCTTAGCATCTCAGAGATTCAATCCCACAGACTGTGGCCAGCACTAAAGTGAATCCAGCCCTATATCAAGACGCTGGAGAGTGTCTGTGAGCAAATAATGCTCCGCACAACCACAGATGTTGAGTCACTCCTAAGCTCTCTTTTCACTCTTCTGGTTGGTAACCAGAGGACACAGATTTAAGATAAATGGCCAAAAAAAATCAGGGGAGACAAAGATCATTTTTTTACCCACAGAGTTGTGATTGTCTGGAATGTATTACCTGAACGGGTGGCAAAAGCAGATTCGATAATAACTTTCAAAAGGCGATTTGTTAGGTACTTAAAAAGGAAAGATTTGCCGGGCTATGGGGTAAGCTTTTTCAAAGAGAAGGCACAATGTGTCAATGTCAGTTTATATCCTTTCCCTAACCAGGTCCTCACGCCTATCACCACCCTCCGCTCAGCTCCATTTGTTCCACATCCCCCAGCGGATCAAGTTCCCTGTTCTCACCTTCAAATCCCGCCATGGTCTTGCCTCATTCAAGGTCTATCTCAAGATTTAACACTATGACCAAACTTTTTCCACTCCATTGCCCTTGGGTCCCCCCCAGCTCAGGTGCAGCCAGTACTGCTAAGCACTTTGGTGTGTCCTCACTATGTGAAAGATACTATATGAATATCAATTTGTATTGTATTTTGTTGTCTGTGACCACACTGCCGGTACTCTCTGTAATTTAAATAAGAGAAAATAAAATATCAATGGTTAGATGTCAGATCCGATCCAAACCACCAGCTCGTGTTCAAATCCCTGACTCTCCAGCACCTTGGGACGTCCTCCTGACATGAAAGGCCCTATACAATTGTAATTTTTATTGTAACAGCAAAACATTTCTTCACACAGAGGGTTGTGGTAATGTGGAATGCATTGGCCCAGAGGCCATAGAGATGGAGCCAATTGGGATGTTTAAAAGGGAGACAGAGAGAAAGATACACTGTCATGAAACTTTGTATTTACTATTTAATTATTAATGAAATAGTGTGTGCACAGTTTGGATGTTAAACAAGTCTTTCTTGATTGTAGTTCCAGTCAATGATTGTGCAAAGGACAACAACCCACAATTGCAACATACAATAATTGTAGCAACGAGGTTTCAGAGAATAAGTAGTGATCAGTTATCTTCTCTTCAGGAAAGAATATCATAAACAATTTAGGGAAGAGCAGGAGAGTGAGATTTGAGGAGATAGCTACAAAGAGCGAGGATCAGCTCAATGCATCCTTCTGTGCTGCAAACATTCTGTAATATAACAACAAATTGCATTGATATAGCGCGTTTCAATCAGCATTGTGTCTCCTATCCTCTTTGGGGGAGAGGTAAGCGGTGTCTCCTTGGAGCTGAACTTGCTGAACGGACAAGCCTGACCGTAATCTGGCAGTTTCTAGTGTGGTTGCTGAGCCAGGCAGGTCCGCAGTATTCCAGAGAAATGCTGATGACAGCACAGCCCAACGTGGCTCATCACCAGGCCCTGTGCGAGCAAACCAGTCACTGGGGCAAGAAGTCATCCCACTCAGCTCCTGTTAGTCTTGCAAACCAAACCCGAAGTAGTAGGGTGTTCCTGGCTCGACAAGCAATGGGAAAGCTTGCCAGGGAACGATACCAATGGCAAAGCTGTGCGGTTTTAGCTGGTTAGACTGCAGCAGTTACCCCAACACACATTCCGGGGTCCCCAAGCCTTGGCTCTTGCCAACCTGTGCCTAAAACTTTCCAGAATTATGTAAACAGGATATGTCCCTCCAGGGAGAGAGTGCACATTCCATTCCAACAATCTAACTCTGGGATTTCCATGTGTTGGTGGGATGTGTGGAATTCTCAGCTTGGCTTGGATACTGTTAAGTTTGGTGATGGGTTTCCTCATGTGTCAGATACCTGGCTAACCAAAAAAATAGTATCCCAGAGATACGGAGCCACAGTCTGAGGTCGGCACTGAAGGGAATTCCGCCCTATTACAGGACGCTGGAGACTGTCTGTGGTAAATAAAGACACCGTATTATGTTTCTCGATGAAGCCAAAATGTTCTCTGAAACGAGAATCTCCACTTGCCCAGGGCCACTGAGGCAAGTTCAACCACCACTTTCATGGCTGAAAACATCAGTACAGAGCAGAGATGGGATCTGTTATCCTGGGTCTGAGGATTGAATTTCACTCTGGACACAAGCTTTATCAATGGGGGCAATGGGGTTAGACTTGAAGTTCTGTATAATGTACAATATTTATTTTCCTTTCAGAGATAAAATGGCTTCACCTTCACATTCCAAATCCTTCAACCAGGAAGAACTTAAGCAGCTTCAGGCTGCTTTTCAAACAGGAGGAGTTGAAGGTGTCACACCCCTGATCCAGAAGAAGTTACAGGACCTGGAGTCTGTAGAACTTAACATTGCGGTAACAGGGGCATCAGGAGCAGGGAAATCCACCGCTGTCAACGCCATGAGAGGTCTTCAGAGAAATGATGAGGGAGCAGCTCCAACTGGTAACGTCGAAACCACACAGGAGCCAACCGGATATTTACATCCCGATCTGAAAGGTGTTTATTTCTGGGATTTGCCTGGAATTGGAACTTCAACGTTCAAAGCCAAACAATATCTGAAGAAGATAAAGTTTAAAAGATATGATTTCTTCATCATTATCTCACACACGAGATTCACTGAGAATGATACGTTGCTCGCCAAGGAGATTAAACGACTGGGCAAGAACTTCTACTTTGTTCGATCAAAAGTTGACAATGATCTAAATGGGCTTGGAGAGGAGGGTATTGATTATAACAAAGAAGCAGAGCTGGAAAAGATCAGGAAGGATTGTGTCAGTAACTTGGAAAAGGCAGGGATTCAATTCCCATCTGTTTTTCTCATCTCAAGCCTCAAACTGGATCAGTTTGATTTTCTTATATTAAGGGAAACTCTTGCAAATGATCTCCCAGATATAAAGAAAGATGTTTTCATCCTGTCATTCCCAAACACAACTGTGGAAATTGTGGAGCAGAAAAGAGACATTTTAAAGAAAAGAATCTGGATGATGGCTGTAGCTTCTGCTTCTGTCGGAGCTGTGCCAGTTCCAGGGTTGTCCTTTGCTTGTGATTTCGCTTTGTTAGTTACAACAATAATATATTTTCGTCACTGCCTGGGTCTGGATGATGCCTCTCTTGGAAGATTAGCCAGGAGAGTTGGTAAACCTGTAGAGGATCTGAAAGCTGTAATAAAAACCCCCCTGGTGGGTGAGATAAACATTGATCTAGTTACTAGGTCAATGCTAGGAATTGCTGGCATTGCCATCTCTGCACTAGAGATAGCTCTCGATTTCATACCTGTTGTCGGTTCTCTCTTTGGAGCATCATCATCATTTATTATGACCTACAAGCTGCTGAGTGAAGCTCTTGATGATCTTGTGAAGAATGCACAAAGTGTGGTGAGGGTCGCATTTGATACTAATTAGGCTCCTCATCTCCACCACCAACCACCTGCTCTGCCCACCCACACGTGCTCCCTCCATCCTCACCTCCATCTCCAAATGTGAGCAGATGACTAACTTCCTCAGGTCTGTACAGATGTTCACTTCATCTCACAGAGGTGTTGTGGAACTTCAGTGTCTTGATAGACCCCCAACTGTTTTTCAAACTCTACAACCTGGGCACTCACTCTCTTGGCTCTCCCTCACCTGCACATCACCCACCTCCACCTCTCCTGTTACCCCACTCTCCAGCTACACCCTACACAGAACTCTGTAGCCTGTTTCCTCTCCTGGACCAGGCCCTCGAGCCTATAACATTGATCCTTGATCTGTTTCAATCATTCCCCACCCCCTCATCAGATTGAATTGAACATCCTCATCCTCACGTTCAATCTCGCCACAGCCTGATCCGATTCTACATCTGTGACCTCCTGTAACGCTACTGCCCGGCCACTCTGTCCCGACACGATCAGTGCCTCAACTCTCAGCCACTCTGTCCACGCTCTCCACAACTCAAAACCTGAGTCCCTTCGCCTCACCCCTTGCCTCCACTTTTACAGTCAAGTTTGAGACCTACATTTTCAAATGCAATGATTATTATAGTCAACCACACTTTCCTTCATCTGTTTTGCATTTAGGAATTGAAAATAGAAGATTCCTGAGCTTCATGGCTGTGATAGAACTAACCAAGGAGACGCTGAAGGAGATGTCTGGGCTGTTGATTGACACATCGTTCATCAATGCCCAGTCACTGTGAGGCAGCAATAACAAAGCAAATTGGAAGCTGGGCTACATTTCCAGACAATTCAGTTCAGATCCCCAGGAGCCATATTGAAACTAGACAGCGCTCTGGGCAGGTCACACCTGGACTATTACATACAATTCTGGTTTCCCCAAACATTAAGGCAATGTTCAGGAGAGAAGTGAGGCCGAGCAATCAGGGAAAGGCTGGATAAGCTCGGGCTCTCTGACATTAAACCACAACGTCCCACAGAGGATGGTCTAAGCAATCATTTTAACATTAGATCCATAGAAATTACAGTCTAATCAGCCCATTGCCATAAACTAATACAAACCCATGGCCTCGAGAGAACCACTGGAATCCCAATTCCCTGCTCTTCTGTTAATCCTTTTATATTCCTCAGAACCACACACTCGGTAAAGTCAATTTGTTAATCTAATAGGGGAGCAACGTGAGTTTCCAGCAGTAATTGTGCGGCTGAATTAAAAGTTAGTAATTTAGGTGTTAATGATAATCAAACGCTCAGGAAATACCAAGTGATTAGTTTCTATTAACAATTTAGTTTGAACAGGAGATCATTGTATCAGCTCCTGGTACCTGACCACTCGCTGCCTGATCATCCCCATGGCTCGAATTTCCTCTCTTGTACAAACAGAATCAGCTGCAGTGTGGACAGTTACTGTGTATTTTACTCACATCATTTCTATCGCAGCACATGTACCAATGGTCATTCTTCATGTTTATATTAAATGAACACCAATGAAGAGATTAACTTGCCGACATTTCTGTGTTTCTGTATTAGGTTAGTCGTCAATATCAATTATTTCTTACAGGTTTGTGATACAATAAATAATTAAACTCAATTTTAATTTAATTTATGATTTCCACTATTTAGCCCATATTTCCTCTGTGCTCTATAGATATGAAATAAACTCTCAGATATTCATCTCACCCAGTGCAGTTGGCATTTCCAATCAGAGACTATATAATAGGAGTGGAAGAGTCCCAGCTCCCAGAAAGGTCCCAATTATTCACAAATATTGAGCAAAGATAACTCCTAAGACTTGCATTTCACCAGTGTGTATTATCATAGGAAACTGCTGGTAACATGGAGTCCTGTAGCTCAGTGATTAGAACACTCGCCCCTCTATCTCTACTCATAGATAATCTTGGAGGCAAAGGACAACCCTCGGCTCCTATTCTCCACCACCAACCAGCTTCTCCGACCATCCTCTCATGCCCCGCCCGTACTCTCCTCAAACTGACTGTGAGGAGATGCTGGATTCCTCGATCCAAAGTCGAGGGGATCCGATCAGCTGCTCCACCCTCCCAACCACCACTTCCTCCCCATCCTCTCCCCATACCTCCTTACCCATCCCTCCCTCCACATCTTCAAACCTGTCTCCCCCTCCTCTCTCATCACCACCATATCCAGCATGAAACCTGCCCACAAGACCCCAATCCCAGCCCTTTTCCTGCCTCCCAGCTCCACCTCTTTGTCCCTCTACCCTCTGACACCATCTTCGCTCTCCCTATCATCTGGCACGGTTCCCATCCCCCTAAAAACAGCTATAATCACCGCCCATCCTGAAAAAAACCTTTCTAAATACTGGCACATCTCCAACCTCCCTTTTCTTTCCAAGGTCCTTGAAGGAGTCATTGCTTCCCAACTTCACTCCTTCCTCTCCTATCCCTCCCTTAATGAGACCCTCCGATCAGTTCAGTTTTGTTGTTGTTATCACATCGTTATCATGTCAAAGCGCTTCACAGAGTATACTTCAGCCAGCTCCTAATATCTACTTTTAATACACAGTAACAACAGTTTGTGAAGCAGCTTTGGTTGGTATTTTATTTGAAAATCTACTCACTATGTGCGACGGCCACTTTAATGTGTGATGTCACCTCTAGTTTAAGAGATAATAATAATCCTTCCTCACAATAGGTCTATCACCTTTCACTTGTCAGTTACATGGTCAGCTGCCTGGTACACACTGACCCTAACAACAACAACAAGTTATACTTGTATCGCGCCCTTCATGTGGGAAAGACGTCCCGGGTCACTGGAAAGACAACGTCTCCTCCAGAGCTCAGCTTCTCACATCATGTCCAGCAGCAACAACGTCCAGTTACTGTAACTGAGACAGACACTGACACACACATACAGTTGAAGAGCACAGGGGCTTCCTCACAGAGGGGGAAACCTCAGCAGCCCCAAAAGCGACACCACACTCACGATCTCTACACAGTGTCGGAGGGGTAAAGGCACTTGGCTCCCCAGTCAGTAACCTTACAAGCTTTCACCCTAACCTTTCTCCTGCTCTGTGCCCCCCATGGTTCAGGCTTTGCCCCCCAGCCCAGCCCAGCTGCTTCCTGGATCTCCTACAGAGTGTGGGAGCTCTGGGGCTCAGTCACCTTTTATGTGGCACAGACTCTGCCTCCCTCTCTCTCTGGTATAACCCAAGGCCCCCAGTAGCTGTCTCCCTCCCTCCCAGTTCTCAGGGGCAGTTACACACAGTCATTTGGTCTCTCTGTGGTGCCAATTCCCTTCTCAGGATTGAAATCCCAGTGATCATCACATGACAGATTCCTGTGGCTTCTCTCACTGGGCTGAACAGTTCTCCATTTGCTTCCTGTCCCATCGCTGACAGTGACTCCAAAATCCACAGTGAAGCAAAACACAATGCTTTTTCACTTACAATTGTTGGGCAAGTTGCCGTACTCCACACCCCTCTGCTTTCCGAGCAGTAAGTAGGAACCCGGTTGTTAGTCGATTGGCCTTTCTGGGGGTAATAATTCCTTCCAAAAATAATACTAATAAATTGGTCACTTCAATTATCTAACAATATAACAGTGTGCGCTTTTAATCAGAATTATAATCCTCACATAACATTTGAACGGTTACAATGAGCTTCACAGGCAATTGCTGCAGAGGGCAGTGACTGCGCCTTTGTACGCCATTGTGGCGGCCAAATTGTACACAGAAATGTCCAGCAACAACTTGCATTTATATAGCTTGCCCTTCCTGTGGGGTAGCATCTCTCGAGGGCTTAACAGAGGCAGAGCTTGAGGCGAACTGGGGGAACGGACGATGTGTACATCAAAATGGAAGATCTTCAAAATGGAAGCGACTTCCAAAGTTTCGGGGTGCAGTGGCATGGAGTGGTGGATGGTGGAGCTGAGGGGATGCGGGGCAAGCAGGAGGCTGGAGCCAGTCAAGCGGAGGCAGCAGGTGGTGGAGTAAGCAGTAAGTAGGTCGGGGAGGCAGGGAGATCCAGGGCTTGAAAGGGTTCGTGGGCAAAATTAAGAATGTTGAAGTCGACCGATGATTAGGGAGCGAGTGGACCACACTCCCTCTCAGCGATGTCATTCACTTGCATCTCACTCTGGAGATGTTATTGTATGTATACAACATTGCCCCCAAAAGCCTCGCACCCCTAGTATGTGACTTGCAGCTCTCTCCACTCCTCCTCCCACTTACACTCTTGCAGACCCCAAGTCTTGACCGTTGCCAGCCTTCACCTAACAGTCTCTGGAAGGGAGTGCCCTGAAGGGGTACGGATATTTCCAGGGGAAGTTTGGTGCATACGTGGGATGTATTGATGTGGACACTCTGAGCACGGTGATAGATTCTGTATATGTCAGACACCCGGCTGACCAAACAAAATGTCCCCGCCTCCCCACGGTGTCCCCACCTCCACACAGTGGCCCCGCCTCCCCACGGTGTCCCCGCCTCCCCACGGTGTCCCCGCCTCCCCACGGTGTCCCCGCCTCCCCACGGTGTCCCCGCCTCCCCACGGTGTCCCCGCCTCTCCACGGTGTCCCCGCCTCCCCACGGTGTCCCCGCCTCCCCAAGGGGAACCCGCCTCCCCACGGTGTCCCCGCCTCCCCACGGTGTCCCCGCCTCCCCACGGGGGCCCCGCCTCCCCACAGGGGCCCCGCCTCCCCACGGTGTCCCCGCCTCCCCACGGTGGCCCCGCCTCCCCACGGTGTCCCCGCCTCCCACGGTGTCCCCGCCTCCCCACGGTGTCCCCGCCTCCCCACGGGGGCCCCGCCTCCCCATGATGCCCCGCCTCCCCATGGTGGCACCGCCTCCCCACGATGACCCCAACCTCCGCATGGGGGCCCCGCCCCCCATGGTGTACACGCCTCCCCATGGGGGCCCCGCCTCCCCATGGGGCCCCGCCTCCCCATGTTGACCCCGCCTCCCCATGGCGGCCCCGCCTCCCCATGGTGGCCCCGCCTCCCCATGGTGGCCCCACCTCCCCCTGGTGGCCCCGCCTCCCCCTGGTGGCCCCACGCCCTCACAGCCACAACCTGCCCCCAGACTCCCTGCCTGGTACCCAGTGAGGCAGCGCTGCACTGGATTCTCACTGGACCCTCTCTGTGAGACCGCCCTCCCCTGTCACTGGGTGTGTGAGTGGAGCAGTTGGAGACAGGAGATATTTGCACAAAGCTCTCACAGTGCGGGTGGGACTGAAGCAGCAGCAACAGTCGCTC